TAAAGAACTAGACATAAGAACTGAAACCATAAAATACATAGAAGGAAATATAGGCGAAACACTACGTGATATGCACATCAAAGACATCTTTACAGACACATCACCCAAAGCAGTGATAGTGAAGGCAAAGATCAGTGTCCTTATTTTTAGTTTCCAGTGGTCTCCAGGATATAACTGGTTCCTAGGTTCTGGGCAAATCCCCAAATATAAAGATTGCCTCAGTCTGTTGGGATGAAAACTTAGATTCCAGGGTCCCTGTAATTTGTTTCTGCTTCTGCTTCCAAGGACAAAAGCCCCTCCTTCAGGGAATTGCCTGACATTCTCTGTCCTTTGGATCAGGAGAGGGCCTAGGAGAGCCCCCAGGGCACTGGCTAGGAGGATGGGGAGGCTCCTAGAAAAGAGAGCAGAGGATGGAAATGGCGACTTTAGGGGACAGAGGTGGAAAGGGGTGCAGGGGGAGCCAGAGAGGACCGGGCAGGGAAGGGGCAGCACGGGGGACACTGAGGGGGAAGGTCGGTGTGGGTGACATGGGCTCTCACTGGGGGGCTGGAGCGTCTGTCTCACCTCGGGGGATGCAGCAGTGCTGGCCTGTAACTGCCCAGGGAACTGTGCACATCTGGGGCCTTGTCCGTCCTTGCAGGGCTGGTGTCATCCACACACAGGCACATGTTGGTGAAGGAGAGGGCTGTAACAGGGGGGTCCCCAGGGGAGGATCCAGGCTCCTGCCCCACCCAAGGAGGGTGTAGCTGAGCAGGGAGAAGCAGCTGGAGAGGAGGCTGAGGAGGAAGGAAGCAGGATGGAGGCAGAAGGAAACCTGGGGGAGGCACATGGGGCAGAGAAGCTGCACTTGCTTCTTGGCCTTGGACTGGGTGACACAGACGTGGGTGAGAAATCCATGTGGAGGTGACAATGGCAGCTTCTATCTTGATTTTGGTTTTTCCTTCCAGACTTGTCAGCCCCGTCTACCCTTTTCTATAGATCCACACCAGGAGGTGCTTTAGACTGTGACAGACTTTCAGGCCCTGCTTGGGGCCAACCCCGTTTGGCTGAACATTTACCCACGAGGGGGTGGTGACTTTGGTGCTTGATTTAGAAACTTTATTCTTTCCTTTCTCTTTGTTGCACACTAGTTGTAGTGAAGTTCCTTTCCATTAAAGGAACTTAGATGTTTTGTTTTAATGCTGCAGATGGCAGAGAGATGGGGGATATAGATGTATACGTGAAGCCCCCAATGCAGAATATCCCCCCTCAGTGCATGAATGCTGGGGTGCCAGGGAGATTCAGGGTTCCAAGAGGAGAGGAGAGCAAGACCTGGGCCACCCTGGAAGACCAACCATGGAGGCTGATTCTGGGGCTCCAGGGCTCCACTCCCTGCAGGTGGGTCAGAGTCAGCCCCGCTCACATCTGCAGGAAGCCAGAGAGCCCCTCTGTGCCATGACTCTGCAGACACTGCTCTGGGGATAGTGTGAAAAATAAATGAACAGCAAAATTAAATGGAATCTAAAAGCAGTAGAAATAGTTTTTACAATCATGTTTATTTTGAAGGACACTTCAAGGGACATGGAATCCTGGCCTGACAGCTCATTGTTATCAGGACCTTGACTGTCACTCAGGAGCACCGGTTTCTTTTGAGAAAATAGCCACTGATCACTTTATCGCCTTAATTTTTTTAATGGTCTGTACCAAATCACTTCATACTTTGCACCTAAAACAAAGATCTGTCATCTCCAACAGTCTCTGAGGGGGAGGCAGCAGGAGGGGCCTCACTCAGAGGCTCCAGCTCCGGGTCCCACGAGGCTGTGATGGGGACGAGATGTTGGCGGATCTGAAGGGACTTGATCAGTGTGGAAGGATCTTCCCTTCCCCAGCCCTGGGCAGCCAGAGCCCACTCTCTGCTTCTGGGAACAGGCCTGGGAACTTCTTTCTAAATACACCCCAGGTGACGCTGATGGCACAGACTTGCAGTCAGGCATTTGGGGTCCCCAAGCCCAAAACATGCTGTTGCCCAGGAACATACTCCACTGTGTGCTGGGGTCACAGAGAACCACGTGACCCCGCCCTGGAGGCCCTGCAGCGTGGGGTGTGTGAGGAGAGAAGGGCTGCAGTAGCTGCCTCAGAGGGGGCCAAGGCAGAGCCAGAGAGGTTCCTTCCTCAGCAGGGAGGGAACATGGGAGCTGGGTCTTGAAAGCCAGAAGTGGGCAAAGGAACAGAAGTGGCTCAGGGAGCTGATTGAAGGCCGACTATGTGATCTCAGCAGTTACTTTCTCTGTGTGACCTCGGGGGTCCCTCCCCAGCACTCTATGAACTGGGAAGTGATACTGTCCTGACACCCCTCCCCCACACCCTCTCAGAAACAAGGACATGGAGACTGAGGGGTTATGGCAGTGCCCAGGTCTGAACCCCAGCCACCTGGCTAATGTGTGGGTCTCTGGACCGACACCATCCTCCAAACTGACCAGGGGACCAAGGAGGCAGTGACCCTGGAGCCCTCACCACCCGCTCCAGATACCACACATTTCTTGTCTGGATTTGACTAAAGACAAAAGCACAGTAGTAAGTCATCATGTCATCACCCTTTATAGAAATGAATTGAACTCACCAAAGAACAAGACACAGAGTGACTGGTTGTACCAAAAAATAAAACCCAACTTTATGCTGCCTCCAAGAGACTGGATCAAAACAGTTCTTGGGAAAAACACAAGAAAATGGGGCACCCCCAAAATTGCAGGGGCTGCCATATAAGATCAAATAAGCTTCCAGCAAAAAAGGTAACAAGAGACAGAGATGAACATCATATGATTAAGGAATCCTAAATCAGGAAGACATAACACTCATCAGTACACATGCACCAAACAAAGGAGCAGCAAAATACATAAGGCAACTATTAACACATCTGAAAACAGATATCGGCAGCAACACAAGAGTGGTAAAGAAATTCAACACTCCACTTTCATCAAGGACACACCACCTGACAGAACTCTGGGAAACTATAACTTTAAGTGAGAAATTAGACCATCTGGGCTGAGTAGATATTTATAGGGCGCTACACTCTAAAAAGCTAAATAATATTCTTGTCAGGTGCACCTGGAATAGCCTCCAGAATACATCATTTGTTGGGTCACATAACAAGTGTCATAAATTCATGATGACTGAAATCATATAAGTATCTCTCTGATCACAATGGTATCAAACTCGAAGAAATATAAAAGGAAACCAGGGGGGGAAATAACGTGTGAAGATTGAACGACACACTACCAAATCACTCTTGGGTTAAGAAGGAAAGCAACCAAGAAATTTAAAAATACCTTGAGACAAATGACAACCTATCAGTGGGCACAGCACAAGCAGCACTAAAAGGGGAATATAGAGCAATACAGGCCACACCTAGAGTCAAGACAGAGCTCAGGTAAAGAATCTAAACAGCTAGAAAGAACAAATGAAACCAAGAGACAGTAAAAGGAAAAAAATTTTAAAGCAGAAATAAATGACAGAGAAATCAAAGACAGATTAAAAAAAAATCAATGAAGCCAAAATATGGTTCTTTGAAAAAAATAAACAAAATAGACAAGTATTTTACTACACTTTCAAGGAGAAAAAAAGGGAAAAAAATCTAATAAATAGAATAAGAAACAAAAGGGGAGAAGTTACAACAGACACATTAGGATACAAAGGATCATAATACCAAATATCTATACGTCATAATGCCAAATATCTGTATGTCGATAAATTGAATGACCTCAAATAACCTAGAAGAAAGTGACAAATTCTTAGAAGTATACAACCTTCTGAGACTGAGTCAGGAAGATTCAGAACAAAACAACTACAAGCAAAGACACTAAAACTTGAATCAAAAGTTTCCTGAAAATCAAAGCCCAGGACCAGACATTTTCAACTCTTCAAAAAAACAGAGGAAGAGGGAATGCTGCCATCACATCTCAGGAGCCCAACATTTATTGATACCAAAAGCAGAGAAGGACATCACGAAAAAAAGAAACCTACAGACCAATCCCTGATGAACATAGATGCAAACATGGATTTGTTAGGTGGAAAAGGATGTCCTAAAGCTAATTCCATACAGGCTTTGTGGACTCCACACCCACCCCAGGCCAAAGCCAAAGACACTGGGAACTCCAAATCCCATCACCACCAAAGGGAAGGTGGCTGGGACCTGAGGGTCGGGTTAAGCAGCCAGGTTGGGATAAAGCCAAACACGTGGGCTTTGGAGGGGGGTCCCTCATTTTTGGCTCTCGGGGACCCACCAGCTCTGAGAGTGCCTTTGGGTTTCCAGGTCGGCGGACTGGGTAGGACGCATTAAAGACTTAATTTCCCTATTTTCTCCCTGAGTTGTACATTTTCCTTATTTCCTTTCCCCTTGTAAATAAACCTTTTATTAACCTTTTGTGTGTGCCTGTAGTGGAGTATTAATAAGTCCCTTTTAAGCGCGCGGGTGAGGACCCACAGCCAGGAACCCGTTTAGTATCAGGGCTGTCCTACAACAGATTGAACTTGTGCTGCTGCAGCTACAGGTCACTTCATTGTGCTGATGCTTAACCCCTTGCGCCACCAGGGAGGCCCCAGGTTATCTATATTCTAAAGTAAAGAAGCAATAACATCTTTTAAAAAGGTTTTATTCTAGTAAAGTAAATATTTAAAGCTGTAACCCACGTAACAAAATTATACATGGGATCCGTAATAATTTGTGAGACTGAACAGAGTTTCTGAAAGAAAAATGTTTGAGACTTGCGGACCCAGTCCCTGGGCCTGGACTCAGGGACACGGTGTGACAAAGGTCTCGGAGCAGGAGAGGAGGGGGCGGCAAAGTCCCAGTCTCGGGGTGTGGCTGTCTGGGTCTCAGTCCCCAGCGCGGGGTGCAGGGCTGGAAGGTGACTGCTGGGGATTCGCCCTCTCCCCTCGGTTCCGCTTCTGGGCTCACAGCCTGGGCGGGTCCTCCTGCCTGGATACTGGTGACTCACCCCAGGGCTCACTCCCCATTGCCTGGAGGTCTCCAGAGCAGCCAATCAGCAGCCCCGCGGCTCCCGTTCCAAAGCCCTCACCCACCCGCCAGGACTCCGTCTCCCCAGCCCGGGTGGGGGCGCGTCCTGGGGGATGGGGGGCGCAGCCCTCCTGCTCCTGCTCGCGGGGGCCGCGGCCCCGAGGGAGACCCGGGCGGGTGAGTGCGGGTCGGGAGGGGACAGGGCGCTCCCAGAGGCGGGAGCGAGGGCGTGGGCGGGCGTGGGAAAGGCGCGACCTCGCCGCCGCCCTAGTTGTCCCCCACCTCGGCCCCGCCCCGTCCTGGCCCCTTTCCGTCCCCCGAGACCCCAGCCTCCTCTGGCCCCCGAGTCCCGGCCATGTTCGTCCCGCAGCCGCTTTTCACTCTCACTCGTCTTTCATCCATTTTCTGTCTCGTGGGCGCCCCTGGGACTCGAGCCCCCGAAGGGGAGAAGAATAGCCCGGATCTCCCCTCCCGCCCCCAGGCCCCCACTCCATGAGGTATTTCTCCACCGCGATGTCCCGGCCCGGCCTCGGGGAGCCCCGGTACATCATCGTGGGCTACGTGGACGACACGCAGTTCGGGCGGTTCGACAGCGACTCCCCGGGCCAGAGCGCGGAGCCCCGGGCGCCCTGGGCGGAGCAGGTGGAGCAGAAGGAGCAGGAGGAGTGGGACCAGGACACGCGGAACCTAAGGGAGCGCGCACAGTGGTACCGAGCGCGACTGGACGCCCTGCGCGCCCTCTACAACCAGAGCGAGACCGGTGAGCTGGCGCGGGTCCGGGCCGGGTCAGCACCCCCATCCCCACGGACTGGGGTCGCTCAGGGTCTCCCCCTCCAGGCTTCCCTGCAACCTGCCGGGGAACAGCCCGCGGGACTTTCACCCCGTTTCCTTCTGTTTAGTTTATTCCCGGCGGGCAGGGGTGCGGGCGGGGTGACCACGGGGTGACGCGGGCGGGGACAGGCTCTCACACCTTCCAGGGGATGTCTGGCTGCGACATGGGGCCCGACGGGCGCCTCCTCCGCGCATACAGTCAGTTCGCCTACGATGGCGCAGATCACCTGGCCCTGAACGGGGACCTGCGCTCCTGGACTGCAGCGGACACGGCCGCTCAGATCACCCGGCGCCAGTGGGAGGCCCTGGGTGAGGCAGAGAGATTCAGGAACTATTTGGAGGGCAGGTGCTTGAGGTGGCTGCGCAGATTCCTGGAGTCCGGGAAGGAGACTCTGCAGCGCACGGGTAAGAGGGGCCTGGAGGCCTCCCGGTCCCCCCCTGCCTGGAGTCACTGCGGGAAATGAGTCCTCTCTCTAGTCCCGAGAGGGGGGCTCCCCTGGGCTTCATGTTCTGCACTAGAGAGACGCCCAGAGACTCCGGCTTCTCCTGAAGGACAGGGAAGGGATCCCGTCTCTCCTGAGAAAGACAGACAGTCCCTGACATCACGCGTCACCGGGTCCTTTGGACCAGGGGCCTGTTTGAGAACCACGAGTTTCTCTCTCAGTCTTGTTTCTGGTCTGAGAACATTTTCAGTTATGTGATTCCTGCTTTTCTGTGTCATTCACCTTCCACCCAGGTCAGGAATAAAAAGTCTGTCTTCCACTCCCTCTGCTTCATCCTACCCTGGGCTTTCATCCTCATTCTAGGACTTTCTAAGGAATAGGAGAATCTCACAGATTCCCCAGATTAGCCTGTTTTTTACATTTTATGCTTCTTCCTGCCACACCAGTTGTCTTGTCCATTGTGAGGATGGTCTCATGAGGATTCTTCGGTGTCCATGGAGGAAACACAATGTGAATTTTCTGATTTACCACCTCAGATCCCCCAAAGACACACATGACCCACCATCCCTCCACTGACCATGAGGTCACCCTGAGGTGCTGGGCCCTGAACTTCTACCCAGCGGACATCACCCTGACCTGGCAGCGAGATGGGGAGGACCTGACCCAGGAGATGGAGCTGGTGGAGACCAGGCCTGGGGGAGATGGAACCTTCCAGAAGTGGGCGGCTGTGTTGGTGCCTTCTGGAGAGGAGCAGAGATACACGTGCCACGTGCATCATGAAGGCCTGCTGGAGCCCCAAGTCCTGAGATGGGGTGAGGAGGAGGATATGGGCACTGAGGCTATTCTCAGGGCCATCAGGCGCCCTTCTAGAGCCCTTCAGAGGGTCAGGATAAGGTCTAGGCTCAGGGTGTGATCTTCCCTTCCCTTCCAGCGTCCCCTCAGACCTCCATCCTCACCGCGGGCATCATTGCTGGCCTAGTTCTCCTTGGAGCTGTGCTCACTGGAGCTGCGGTGGCTGCAGCTGTGATGTGGAGGAAGAAGCGCTCAGGTAGGGACAGGACTGGGGGCATCTTGTCCACTGGGGCTTTCAAGTCCCAGGGAGAACTTGCCCTGCCTGGTTAATGGGAAGTACCATCCACACATATGTGTGGTACCTGGAGGGCATTTGGTCCCCCTCACCTCCTTTGTTCATTTCTTCCCAGTCCTGACCTGGGTATTTACTCACAGTTCTGGAAACTTCCCTGTTCTGCAGGATTAAATGATTCCTTTAAGGTCTTCTGACCCGACCGCTTCCTGGTCTCACATGATGTTTCTTCCCACAGGAGGACAAGGAGGAATCTACACTCAGGCTGCAGGTAAGTGTGGATCAGTGGTTTGATCCCTGAGCCCCTGGGGACAGTGTAAATGGACTCCATGGGGGAGTCACCATCATCACTACCTCCTGTGGTCTCATTTCTGACCAGGATTGTTTTGTTCTCAACCAGGCAGCAGCAGTGCCAAGGGCTCTGATGTGTCTCAGCCCCTAAGGATCTTTTACAGTGAACCTGATAAGACTCCTGTTGTGCACACCCTGGACAGCACCTGATATTGTTCAGAGTTTGCATTTTCAGTCTCTCCTAGGTGTGATGGTGTCACTGTTGTTCTTAACTGTGATATTGAGCATTTTTTCATGTTTTTACTTTTCTATGACTACAGCTGCTGTTTGTAAGGAAATTTTGTACATTTTTACAGATGAGGTGCCATTCATTTATTACACTATTTTTGTCCTTATTAAAATTGGGTTTTTTTTCTCTGATTGTTGAGTTTTAGGCATTATTTGTAGATACAATCCTTTATCAGATTTGTGATTTGAAAATGTTCCCCCCACTCTGTGACCTGAACTCCTTTACTGATGGGAAAACAAACACTATTGCCCAGACAGGAGCATGGAGATATATATATATATATATCTATATATATATATGAGAAAAGATAAATTGCTAACTGGTTTTGAGCAGACACTGGCTGACTGGGGTCTTGGGAGTGGAGGGGAATGACTTATGTGTATCCTTGAGTGTTATTTAAATGTCCTTGTATGAGCATGAAATATGCTTTCTAATGTAAATTACACTTCATTCCTCAATTTATAAAACTTCACACATCATGTCTAAATCACATTTTAAGACCAGACTGACACGTTGATTACAAGTGATGGGTTCACATGTCATAGTTGTAAAGTCATGTTTTCCCTTTGGGGTTACTCTGGTGGTGTCCATTCTCGGGGTGTTGGACAAATGTACAATGAAAATGACCCGTGTCCACCATGAGAATATCATGCGGAGTATTTTCACTGCCCATAGTGTCGTCTGTGCTCCAAGGAAGCAAAAGCAAAAAGAAACCAATGGAATCACATCAGACTAAAAAAGCTTCTAATTAGTGAAGGAAATTATTGTTAAAATGAAAGGACAATATCAAATCGGAGAAACTATTTGCACATCATCAATCCAACAAGGAGTTAATATCCAAAATCTACAAAGAACTCCAAAGCAAGGAAACAACTCAAAACAGGGGCAGAGGAGCTAAATAGGTCCTTTTTCTAAGAAGACACACACGTGGCCAGTAGGTACATGGATAAATGTTTGTCATGTGCTGTCAGGAAAATGCCAGTTGAAACCATAATGAGTTCCCACCTCACACTGTGAGAATGACCCATTGAAGGGTGTGTAGGAAAAGGAACTCTGGCACATGGTGGGTGGGAATGGTGTCTGGTCCTGTTAGTGGGCAGAATGAGGGGTTCCCTGTGCCCTCAAAACTATACACTATCTGCCATCAGCTGCATAAAGACAAAACATACTCTAAAGCGTAAGAGCTTCAATAGAAAATAACTCTAATACAATTAGTATAAAATAGAGAATCAGTGTGCAATAGAGAGAGAGAAGAGAAAGAATATAATTAGAATAGTTCCCAAGTGAAGCACCCAAAGTTACCCGTCCCCTCATGGGTAAGGCCCAGCCAAACAAACTTGGCCCAAAGCAGGCCCACTGGGGCTTGAAGGCCTGCCACAAAGCTAAGGCACCTACTGGTAGAGATCCATGGGACAGGGGCAGGAGGGGCCAGGCAAGTCTGGAAGGAAAAGAGCAAAATCAAAATCCACATCAAGATAACAGCTGCCATTGTCAGTCTCCCCATGGGTCCCTCATCCACGTCTTTGTCTCTTTCATGTGTCTCTTTCCATGGCCCCAACTCCCTGGCACAAGTCCAAGTGAGAAGCAAGTGTGGTTTCTTCTTCACATGTCTCTCTGCTCCATGTGCCTCCTCCAGTCTTCTTTCCTCATCTTACTCCACATCTTCCTCCTCTTCCTTAGCTTCTCATCCCTGCTCAGCCCCACCTTTCCTTGGGCCAGGCGGTAACCTGGAACCTTGCTGCAGGAAGCCTTGTTGCCCCAACCAGATAAGACACTGGCAAGCAGAGAAGCGAAAGGGCCTCACACCGTGGGGCCGAAGAATCCTTGTGCCTCACACCGTGGGGCTGAAGATCTAATATACCTTTATTTTTGTTCTTGGTCATAAAAAGAGAAAAAATTATCAGAAAGTTCATTAGGCACTACATTATATGCATCAGTATACTGCAAATAAATGGCATGGAAAATTATCTGTTTAGAAATTAGTTATTAAACAATTTGGCCCACTTGACAATGGGAGACAATTTACATTCCTGACAAGCAATCCAACACAACTATTATAGTAAGTCCTCCTTTTGCTTTTTTAGAAGTTTCTTAGGAAAGTTTTTCAATGAAGTTAACTGTGTGAAGAAGTTTCTAGGTAGAAAAAGTTCTGATAGCTGAGAAGCAGCTGGTCTCTGGCTGAAGGCCATATGAATAGAAGAATCTTTGGATGCTTAAGCTTTAGCTGATAGGGATGTACTGGTGGCTATCAACTGTCTTAGGTAATTGTCTAGCTGAAATAATAAGTTTTAGTGTAAGGTTTAGTTTTTTATCTATTAACCTTGAAGGCTACCATCTAGCTGGGACCCATAGGAGCCTGTAGTCCATGGGAATAGAATACCCTAATTGTTTCTGCTTTGCACATGATTAGGTAATTTTTCTGATTACTAAAAATGAATAAAGACCTGCTGAGTCTCTTGGCAGAAGAGATCTGCACCCCATCCAGTATCAGTGTCTCCTCAATCCCCTTCCCTTCAGCCCCTAACGTGTCTCCTAGGCCGTCTCATCCTTTCAGGAACCCCTGACACAACATTTTGCCGGAGGCTGGTCCCTGGCAGAACCTCTCTTTTCTGTGGATAGCACATTGGTCTTGCACCTGTAGAAAAAAAAAAAAAAATGAAGGTCCTCAAAATAGTCCTGTCACATGGTCAAGCATCCCATTCCTTGGTATTTTTCCAAAGAAGGTGAAAACACTAATTCCAAGGAATATGCACCTCCTATGGTCACTGCAGTGCTGTCTACCATAACCAAGTAATGAAGACAACCTAAGTGCCCAACGGCAGATGAGGGGATAAAGAACACAAGCTTTATACACAATGGAATACTACTCGGCTGTGAAAAAGATGAAATATTGGATTTGCAACAACATGGATAGATATTGGATGATTTCATATTTGCAATATAAAGAAACAAGGCAGGGACAGATGAAATTAAACCAAAACATCCTCTATATATATGACTGCAGAATTGAAGCTATGGGCTGGGGGTAAGAGTAGGAAACAAAGTAAGAATGGACTATGGTTAAGACTGTGGGTGCCCTTAGGGTGGGTGTGATGTGGTAACAAACATCTGAAGAGGTGCCTCTGAACACATGCAGTGTTGTAAACCAATGCTAACCTAAGGTGAATAATACATTGAAGGTAAAAAGAAAAAAAAATAAATTGTCTCCTCCATCAGTCACCGACCTCAGGACTTTGCCTTCGCCTCCTCACTGTCATGCAGGCTGAGGGGCTGGTTTCCCACAAGGGCAGAGGCAGGTGGTGCAGGGACTCCTGGAGCTGCTCAGACACCGCTGAGTAGAGACGGTGCAGAGAGGGCGGCTCTGAGGGAACCAGAGACAGAGGGTCAGAGTAACCCCAGTGCTGAGTGAGGATCTGGTTCCCAAGGAGAGGGGAGTGCGTGCGTGTGTGTGTGTGTGTGTGTGTGTGTGTGTGTGTAACAGGAATGACAAGATACACAACATAAGATGATGGGAAATCAAATAACATCAAGCCCCAGAATAAATTAATTGAAATCGCAGAGTAAAGAATGTCAGAACACCTCAATAAATACAGTTCCATGCAGAAGCAGCTTCTGAACAGGACTGAAAAAACGTTGGACCTGAAGAAGAGGAGGAGGTTTAGAAATATCTCATGGTTGGCTTGAGGTGTAAAGAGCTGGGCAGGACCCCTCCCCTCACCCTGGCCCCTGCTAGGATGTGGTGGCATCTTCGCCCCTGACAGCTCCCTCCCCCAAACCCCAATGTTCATCTCCTTTAGAGTCACCTGTACATGCACATATATGTATACGTGTAATCCCAGCTTCTTCTTAATTTCCCACCTGTCTGGGGCATTCAGGTGGTGTCCATAGCTTGGCTACTGTAAATAGTACTGCAGTGGTGACGAGAGTGCAGGTCCCTTTACAGGAGAGTATTTATCCTCTGTGAGTAGATCTTCAGTGTAGAATTGCTGGGTCCAATGGCAGAACCACATTCACTCTTTTAAGAAACCTCAATACTGTTTCCATAAGGGCTGGCTCAGTCTTTATCCAAAAACTATTCAAGACTGTCCCCTTTTTTCCATATCTGTGGATCTGCTACTCCTAGGCAGCCTATTCGGCCGCCATTTTGTCACCATTTTGTTGCCATTTTGTCACCAAGGTCAAAGTGGTCCAGCCAGTTAGGAACAGGAGCCCAAACCCTTAAGCCCTTCAGATCAACAAGAGTGCAAAGCTGGATCACACTGGGAAGGTTATGTATCACGAGGTATGTCCAGAATGCCCAGGGGGCTGAGGACCGATGCATAACATGTGCATCAGGAAGTATGTCCAGAACGCCCAGGGGGCTGAAGAACAATGCATAACACATACTCCCGATTTATACATCACGAGGTATGACCGGGAATGCCTGGGGGGCCGAGAACTGATGTATGACAAGGGACCCCAGAAGCTGATCAGTGGAGGGCCTTGTTGATAAGATTAGAACCATGGCTGGAGATTAGGGTGTATCATCAAGTAGATTAGAAGTGCCTGGAGGGCAGACTCACATATCCCTAATCTTTTACACCCTTCCCCTTTCTTTAATCTCCCTAATCTCCTTATAACCAATTATGTGTGTCAATAAAAGGGCCAGGATCTTGCTCTTCAGCAGCATCCTGCATTATGTAGCCTGCTCCACGACTCCCATTTGTCAGTGTGGTGTTGTTCGATGCAACAAATGGCACCAGAACAGGGACCCCACACCCCGCTTCTCAAGCCCGGAGAAGGGAATTGGACGTCCTCTCAAGCCTGGCCAAAAGGCTTCACAGACCCAGAGTCTGTGACAAAGCGGTAAGAAGGTGTTTTCAGTGGTGTCTTTCCTATCTTCTTTTTCTTCCAAATCAGCCTGGTGATAGGCCCACAGACTCAGCATCTGTGACGATAGTCAGCCTGGTAAAAGGCCCACAGACCCCACGTCTGTGACGATAGTCAACCTGGTAAAAGGCCCACAGACCCCGCATCTGTGATGATAGTCAGCCTGGTAATAGGCCCACAGACCCCACGTCTGTGACAATAGTCAGCCTGGTAAAAGGCCCACAGACCCCGCATCTGTGATGATAGTCAGCCTGGTAATAGGCCCACAGACCCCACGTCTGTGACGATAGTCAGCCTGGTAAAAGGCCCACAGACCCCGCATCTGTGATGATAGTCAGCCTGGTAATAGGCCCACAGACTCCATGTCTGTGACAATAGTCAGCCTGGTAAAAGGCCCACAGACACTGAGTCTGTGATGATAATCAGCCTGGTTAAAGGCACATGGACACTGAGTCTGTGATGTTAACTTTCTCCTGTGAGTTTTTCAGTTAAATCTTTACTCTCTCTCTTGGAAACATGAGTGATAATCTCACACCCCCTCCGATCAAATATAAAAACAACTGAGAGCCCTAACACTAGGGTTTGCCATTTACTGTTTTTAAGAAATTTAAAAAAGGTGCTTCCAGAAATGGTAATCAAAATTCATTCACAACAAATTGCCAAATGTTATAAAAATGGGTATAATACAACTTCTAGGGACTATAAGGTTCTTATTAAAACAGGACTGACCTATTGCAGTGGGCTAGTGGGGGCTGCCCCTGGTCTCAACAAGCAGCTGCCTGGACCTCTTGCTCCAGTGTTGGGATCATTGGCACGTCTCTGCTGCCTTCCTGCTGTGGGAAACTAGACTCTGCTTTAGTCCACCTTGAGATACTGTTCTAGTTTGTTCTATAGGTTAAAATATATATTCTATTTTCTTGTGTTTTCCTACATAATGCTTCTTGGTTAAGTAGAAACTCCTGACTTCCCTATAAAAGATTTCTTATGAACGTTAAACTTGATAAAAACTAAAAAGTAAAACTACAACTTTTTGAGATAAATCCCAAACCTTACATTTCTAAAAATCTAAAAACAGATAAACCACAAAATAAAATCTTAACCGTTCTTCTCCTCTTTTCCCCATGCATGGTCCATAAAAAGGGTTCTATTCTCTTAAAAATGCTTGGTCATTTCTTAAAAATACAAAATCTAAAATATTTTTGTATCTCAAACTTAGTAAAAACTGGCTGTCTTTAAAATTTTGGTGACATTGGGACCTCAGTCTTAAGTAATGGTTGAAATTAAACCCTTATTCTATGTAACAATTTTAACTTATCTCATTAAAAAATCTTGATATATGGGCCCTCTCTGGTAATACAGGGGTTAAAGTCTCAGCGCTGTTGAGCTATTTCAGGCCAGTACTGCTAGGGTTGGATCCTGGCTGGGGAGTTGGCCCCCGTGACACAGCCGGCCTCTCCTGTCTCAGCCGGCTTTTCCCCTCAACAGCATGTTTCAGTAGATCCATCTGTTCTACTCCCCACTCTCTGGTTGGTCTTTTCACCCCCACACATCTGGCTTACACCATAGTTATTATGTACATAAATAGATAAAATATACATATAAATATATATATAAATATATATAAATATATATATATATATATATAATATATATCTTAAAAAATAACGGCTCCCCGAGGCTGGGCGGGACATCACCATTTCTAAAAGCCTCAGAGAGGGGGAGCCTGGGGCGGGAAGGGGTGAAAGCCAGGCGGACCCTTCTCCCTGGGCGGGTCCTGAGTCCCAGGGAGATGGGGCAGGGGAGAAAGTGTCCAGGAGGGAGGGAGCTCCAGAGACTGAACATGGGCAGCAGGTCCAGAAGGGGCAAGACTCAGGGGACAAAAGGAGGAGGCAGGGAGGGGGGACAGAAAGGGACCAGGACTGAGGGGCGCTACAGGGTGACAGAGGGGCCTAAGGCAGCAGCTTCTTCTGCAGAAGCCTTTTCACTCCACCCTGCTCTCAGCAGCCCAGGTGTCTGTCTGGGCCAGAGCCCTGGAGAGAAGCAGCAGGAGGAGGGTTGGGGGCCCCATGACCAGCACTGCTGGGGTCTGGGGAGCTTCTGACTCCAGGCTGGTGGGTGGAGACTTACCTGGGCAGGCAGTGATGCTGACTGGTTCTCTGGGAACCTCCAGGCACTGGGGACTGAGAACTGGGGAGGAGTCACAAGTGTCCAGGGCCCAGCACAGGTGGTGGAGACAGAAGGGAGGCTAAAGGGGCAGTGGGGTATCCCCAACAGTAACCTTCCTGCCCTAGACACAGTCCTGGGCCTGGAACTATGAGAACCAGACTGGGGACCTGGGACTTTGCTCTGGCCCCTCCTCTCCTCACCCAAAGCTTCCTCACCCTGTCTCCATGACCCAAGCGCTGGGTCTGCGATTCTCAGTCATTTTCCATCCCGGATCCGTGTCCAGTCTTACAAATTAGGGTGGACACCAAGTATAATCTTGTTTAGGAGGTATTGCTCCCCATATTTACCATACTGGGAATAAAGCTGAGTTGAATCATGTAGCTATTTCATTTAGAATAATAGTAATAATCCAATACATGCTTATAGAAAGTGTTCTTAAGAAAAATAACTTATTTCTGAAAATAATCAAGGCAATAAGAAGAGTGGATATTTTACATTTTTTATTTTTGCAGTTGTCTTTCTTGTCTGTCTCATTAGAAGACAATAGGATTTTCATGTTCCCTTCTGCATTTATTTTTTTTTAAGATTTTATTTTTATTTATGCTCTTGTATAAGAGCTGGGGTACACAGCAGAGACGCAGGGCATGAGAAGATTCACCGGAGACAGAGCGGGGAACAGAACAGGTGGACTGACTGAAATATACTGCCAAGGGGAGCAGCAGGAAAGTCAGGAGAGGTCTGCTGAGCCATGTTGGTTGCTCCCTGGCTGGCCTGGGATGGGACTCTGTGCTGCAGAAGCTGCGGATTGCTTCACAGCGCGGTGTTTAACCCCTTGCGTCACCAGGGAGGCCCTCCTTCTGCATTTAGTCTGTGGTTCTGGTTGAAGTCTATGAAAAATGTATACAGCCTCACACAAGTATGTTGGAGTAGTATTCACATAATTATGAATATTCCACTTTGATACTGAATTAAAACTATATAGGAGGTTTTTCTCAAAGGTTACTTGCGAAGTCATATCAGTGAATATTTCTTATTCTATTACATTTCCATAGTCCTCTCTTGCATATTAATGGGGTCTTGTGCTAATGTGTGATTTTTTTTTTAAAGATTTATTTATTTATTTATATAAGCACTAGGTACAGTCAGAAGCGTGGGAGAGTGAGAGAATTCACCAGAGCCAGCGCAGGGAACAGAACTGGCAGACTGAAATACACTCCTGAGGGGAGCAGTGGGCGCGGCCGGAGAGGTCTGTCACTATGTTGAGCTCTGCAGCCCAGCGCTCAACCTCTGTGCCCCCAGGGGAGGCCTTAATGTGTGATTTTTTTTAAGTAATATATTGTTTCACTAAGTTAAAAAGCTCTTCAGTGCTCATTACACTGGAATCAAATTATTTTAAAAAATTCATTTTATTTTTCACCACAAATCCCAAAGGTAAAAGCAGTACTAGAAATTGTCAAGTTAGTGATAGGACACAATTTTCCATATTCTGTTTTTTTCTGAGCACTTACATTTTGTCAAGGCGAAGTGACTGTCAGTTATCAATTGTCAGTTGATTTTCTTAAAGGAGCACACACTCATTTTCAGGACAATGTCTGCTCATTAACCAAATCAAATAGCCACAGATTTTGTCATTCATTCCTTCATGTGAAGATGGTATTGCCTACGAAAAAAGAAAAACAGTCTAATTCATCTCATGCAAATATGTTCCTTGGCACGTGGTAGTTGGGAACGCAGCAGAAATACTCTGTGTGCACTTGCATGTCATCATATCCGGTGCTGTAAAGTGTGGATTTGAGGATTATAAAATAATGAAAATAATTTTCAATGTTTCAGCCAAGACACTTTGAAATGAAACTGGCTTGGAATTGTGCTTCTGAGGTAAGAAGTGGTGAAGAATAACTACTACTGCAATTAGTAATATAAGCTCCATTTTTACTAAGTTTTACCTCAGCAGATGGCAAAATAGTGAAAAGACAAATGGTGTCGAAGTGACATTTTGAAAATAGTTTTAACCTCATGGACCTTGTGACAAGTTCTGGGTGACTTTAAGGATTCCTCAACCACACTTCGAGAAATGCTTTTCTCAGGGAACCAGGGAGCATCTCCCAAGTGTTCTCTGCCTTTGCCTCCTCATCACTTCCCAACATCCCTCTCCCTGGCTGGCTCCTGCCTCCCCAAGCTGCCTCCCCTGCAGACACAATGGGGAGCAGAGAGAGGACCCCGGAAATGTGGAGCTTGCTCTGTCATGAGAGATGGACACTGAGCAAAGGTGACAAACACACGTGTAAACCCAACCTGAGCCCTGTGCTGGCAGGATGGAGTGTGTATATTATGAAAGCAGAGAAGCAGAAGCACTAACTGCCCCCCTTCTATTATTTTACATTAAAAGATGTAAAAAATAAATTAACAACAGGGCCTCCCTGGTGACATCAGGTTTAAGTTTCAGTGTTATCACTGTGTGGGACTGAGTTTGACCCCCTGCCAGGGAGCTACCCACATGGCACAGCAAACCTCTTCTGTCTCACCCCACCACTCCCCTCAGCAGTGGATTTCAGTGGCTCGGCCTGTTTTGCTCCCCATACTGTCTCTGGTGAATCCTCTCACCCTCTGCACCTCTGGCCTACACCCCAGTTCTTACATGCATAAATAAATAAAAAAATTAATCTGAAAAAATAAAAAAAAAATATCCTGCAGCATCAGGTCCAAGATCCATCTCAGACCCAGCAAACAGCAGAGGCTGGGGACCCAGTGGTGGTACAGGTGAAACAAAACGCTATGGGGGACTCAGTCAGCGGGAGTCAGGATTTGTCATCAAATGAGTTTGATGCCAAACTACAGAGGGTCAGTCCACACAGCACTGCTGGGCCAAGAAGCCTGGGCTTGCCTGCAGCCCCAGTCAGCAGTCAGGCACTGCCTGGAAGACTCAAGGGATAGCTTTTAAGTTTGGCTTAATCTAGCCCTTTGTTTAATTTCTCTATATCCACATCTAAGTGATACAATTGTCTTTCTCCGTTAGGCTTATTTCAATTAGCTGCACCCATGTTGCCCCAGATGGCATGAGTTTATGTTTCTTGATGAGTAGTATTCTATTATCTATGTACAACCCCTTCCACAGCTTGGCTACTGTAAATAGTGCTGCAGTGATCATGGAGGTGCAGGTTTCCTTTGAAGTAGTGTAACATCCTCTGTGGGTGTGCTGGCACTTGCCGCCCTAAGGGGAGCCAGAGTTTCTGAGAGCACCTGCTTACTCTGCACAGGGGGTTCCAGGAGGTTAGAAGTTTTGCAAACAGAACTTCTTCCCCAAATTAACTCCTGTTCCCTGAGGACATGCTGACTTGTGTGCATGATCCCTACTAACTAGAAAAACTTGTTCCAGCAGTAACTTATTCATGTGTATAAACATAAACACAATTGCACGCTGTCTCCTTATCCCTTTGTTCATATCTTTAATAAGAGCTTGGGCTGGGAGAGTGAGAGGCAGAGCAGCTCTAGAGGGCTCTCCCCAGCCTCCCCCTGCTGCTAATTCATTTAGACTTTGAGTCTTCCTTCATAGCTGAGAACTTCTCATGGGCCGTCTGAGGCAGGGTAGATACCTTGGAATGGGACTGTTGGGTCCTATGGCAGATGCTCAGTTAATTTTCTAAGAAACCTGGATACTGTCTTCCATCAGGGATGAACCAGTCTATATTCCCTAATACAGTGCAGGACCGTCCCTTGTCTCCATGTCCTACCAGCTCTTGTTAGGTCTGGTCTTTTTGATATGGGCCATTCTCACAGGTGTGAAGTAGTTTCTCATCGTATTTTAAATCAGGGGATCTTGAATGGATCAAGAAGATGGGGTACACTTCAGTCCAGTGAGAATGCCCACATTAAAAATGAAAAAACCAGAAACAACAAATGCTGGAGAGGATGTGGAGAAAAAGGAACTCTCCTGCATGGCTGGTGGGAATGCAAATGATGGTTTCACATATAGGAGGAATACAGGGGAAACAAATAAGATGTAGGGGAAAAATAATAACAGTACAAAACATAACAAATCAAAACAAAAAAAACCCCAGACAATTAAAAACCAGAGACATCCTACAGGGGAGCCTGAGGGAGAGGGATGGGAAGGAGGGAGGGAGGCCCCCAGGGGGCTGTGGGGATGGTGCATGGCTGCATTGGTGCAGGAACTTCTTTGGGGACTACACCTGAGGAGGAAAAAACAAACTATGTAAAAAGGAACAATGATGCAAAATATATATAAATAAATTAATTTAAAAAATAAAAATAAAAGAACTTTTACAGTAAAAAAAAAAAAGTCTTACCTCCAATCCTGGTAACAAACACAGTAACAATACTTGTCTGTCTGTGCTCCCCTCCAGTGTAGCCATGAATACAAGGAGATTCATCCTGACATTATAGTGGGGAGGGAGGTGGGGAAACCAGCCTGGGTTTATCTGAGATCCTTTCCCTGCTGCACATGGAGTGTTACCCTGGAGTAACATTACATCTTCCAAGAGCTGATGGACCCTGCCCCATCTCTCCTATCCCTTCCTGGACTGTAGACAGAGGCTCAGCTCAGTAACTAGCGTGACATGGGCTAATCCTGGCCCTGGGCCAGGCCAGCAGGACACACACTCCTCCCTCCGCCTGTGAGACTCCCTCCAGCTCTGGTCTAGAGAGAAAGTAGCTGCAGCCCATGGAGGCAGTGGCCCCTGGGAAACAGAGGGGATGCCATGCTGGAGCTCCCTGACTCTGAGGCCTGTGTGTTTTCTACAGTGACCCCAAAGAAGAAGAGTTTGAAGTGAACATTGGGGGCCGGGGGAGGGAGCTGTCAGGTGCAACCACATCCTAGCAGGGACCACGAGGGGGTCCTACCCAGCTCCTTCAGCTCAGTCCAACCACAACATATTTCTAACTTCCTTCTATTCTGAGACCCAGTGCTTCTTCACGTCCTGCTCAAAGACAGCTTCTTCATGGAACTGTACTTATTGAGGTGTTTTGCTGACATTCTCCCTCTCTATGAGATTTGAATTTATTTATGCTGGGACTTGATGTATAATTCTCCCCCATTTTCTTATGTTGTATGCCCTGTCTCCTGTTATACACACACACACGCGCACACATACACACACACACTCCCCTCCCCTAGGGAACCAGACCGTCACTCAGCACTAGGGATTACTCTGACTCTCTTTCTCTGGTTCCCCTCAGAGGCACCCTCTCTGAAGTGTCTCTACTCAGCAGTCTCTAAGCAGCCCCAGGAGTCCCTGCACCTCCAGCCTCTGCCCTTGTGGGAAACCAGCCCCTCAGCCTGCATGACAGTGAGGAGGCGAAGGCAAAGTCCTGAGGTCAGTGATGGATGGAAAAGACAATTTTTCTTTTGCTCAAGATAGTTTCTCCCCCCAGCCATGATTGTATTATTTCTACTGAGGTAACATGGGTTTACACACTGAATGTGTGCAGAGGCACAGGGTCACACCTCTTCAGGTGTTTGTTACCACTTCGCACCCACCTAAGGGCACCCGCAGACCTCACCACCATCACTGGGCCCTCTTCCCACTTTGTTTCCTATATCACACCCACTCCCTCCCCTCCCACATAGCCTCTTATTTCTAGAGTATGTTTTGGTTTAGTATCATCTGTCCCTGCTTGGTTACTTTATATTCCACTAATGAGTGACATCACTCAGTAGTTGACTTTCTCATTCTAACTTATTTCACTTAGCATAATCCCCTCCACATCTGTCAATGTTGCTGCAAATTCAACTTTTCACAGCTGAGTAGTATTTCTTGTGTCTGTCTACCACCTCTTAACCCACTCATCTGCCATTGGGCACTGAGGTGTTTCCATAGTTGGTTATTGTGCACAGGCTGCAGTGAGCACAGGAGGTGCATATCCTTTGGAATTAGTGCTTTTACCTTTGGATATATACCAAGGAATGGAATACTTGACAATATGCAAGGTGTATTTTGGATATTTTGGGAAACCTACATTTTTTTTTTTTTTTTTTTTTTTGCCTAGGGGCAGGACTGTAACAGTGTGATATCCACAGTAAAGGAAGGTTCTGTTACCAGGCAGGGTGAGGGACCCAGGACTCCCAAACCTGCCCATGCTAAATGGGTTCTGCCATCAGCCACATGAAAACAAAACACACTCTAGTGCATAAGACATTTAATGGGAAGGGACTTTAATACAATCACTGTGTAAGAAAGAGAATGAAGGGACAGAATAGAGAATATGATTCCCAATCAAGCACCCAAATTTACCCATCCCTTTGTGGGTCACCTCAGCCAAACAGTTTGATCCAAAACAGGGACACTGAGGCCCCCAAACCTGTCAAAAGTCTAAGGCACCTTCTGGTTGGGACCCATAGGAAAGGGGCAGAAAGAGCCAGACAAGCCTGGAAGAAAAAGAGCAAAATCAAAATCAAAATAAATGTTACCACTGTAATCTCCCCACAGGTCTCTCACCCATGTCTGTTTCCAGTGTCTCCTTCCATGTCCCCCCAAGTCTCTGGCACAAGTCCAAGGTTGAGAAGCAATCACAGCTTCTTCACCTGTTCCCATCTTTGCTGCTGTTAGAGCCTGGAAGGGAAGGTTAAGACCTGGAACTGGGATTTAATTAATTAATTAATTAATTAAATTTACTCTAATGCATAAGGTCTTCAATAGAAGAGGACTTCAGTACACTTAGTGTGCAATAAAGAGAATAGAAAGACTATAGTTAAAGTAGTTTCTAAATGAAACACCCAAAGTTACCATCCCATTGGGTGTAAATGTCCAGCCAAACAGGGTTGGCCCAGAGCAGGACCGCTGAGGCCTGAGAGCTTACAACAAGACTAAGGCACCTTCTGGTGGAGACCCATAGGAGAGGGGCAGAAGCGGCCAGGCAAGACTGAAAGGAAAAGAGCAAAATAAAGATGATACAGGGCAAAAGAGGCACTAAAGCTGGCCAAGGACAGTGCCCAAATAGTTTACCGTCTGAGTTCTTCCCCTGTGCACACAATTACAAGACCACTCAGCCTCAGAGGACAACAATAATGGGGTGTACTTAAAAACCAGGGAAAAACAAAGAGTTCCTGAGACCACAAATGGCCATTTACCTCACCTTAAGCAGTGTCCAGTGTTGTAAAGTCCTAAACACAAATGTTCCCAAGTAGCGTCTTCCTGCCACTGGGGACCTGGAGCACGTGGCTGCCAGACCGTAGGCCGGGATCCAACTCACGAAGACAGCAGAAGACACAACAGGAGATGCTCAACGGAGCTGCCGAGATGCCCCAGCACAGCACCAGACAAGTGACACGCAAAACAGCTGCTGCAGCGGCCGAAAGACCTGACAACTGGCCACACTCAAAGCTTAGAGAGGCGCCCGGGTCCAGGTCTTCGCCTTCTCTGCCAGGCTGTGACAGCAGCAAAAGCGGGAACAGTTTCAGTGACTCAGCTACTTGCAAAGCCTCCAAACATTTCCTCTCTGAGGTTGGCTGCAGAAAACACAAATGAATGCACATATATACCTTTTCCTTTAAAAAAAAGTACAAATTGCAAAACTTACAGTACCTGAATTCAAAATTTACTAAAGCTGCATTAATCAGGACAGTGTGATCCTGGCCTAAGTCCTGACAGGCATCAACAGAACAGATTAGAGTGTCCAGGAATAGACACACTTGGGCAATCACTTAATTTTTAACAAACACATCAAAGTAATGCATTGGGGTCAAGGAAAACCTTTTCAATGAAAGGTATGGGAATAATCGGATATTCAACTGGAAAGTTTATTTAAAAGGAACCTGAATATTCTTCAGCATTGCTCTCATCCAGCACCACACTCTGCTCTTACCCTTTTCTAGTGACACATTAGTAATGTATCACTACTGATTCGTGTCAGCAATCAAGACATTGTTCCCCTATTCCAGTGCTATTCCTACTATAGGGATAGCACCTTCTCTTTATTAAAAAAACTTTTTAAATTATTAAAATAGCAGTAGTCATTAATAACAGTTCCAGTATTAATGAAAAAGTGCACAATAATTGTCCATTATCATACAACCCAGGAATCACTGAAATTGAGATGATGTTTTCAAGCTTCTACAAATGATATCATAAAATTTGTGTAATGCCTTTTTACTTAATACTGTTTGGCACATGCTTCTCTTTTTTATGATTCCTTGCAATTTTAATATTTTTGTTGAATGTAATGTGACCATACTAGCTTTCATTTCAGCTCATTCTCATGACATTGTATGTCATTTTCATGACATTTCATTTCCCAAAGAAATAAATTTTAACTGCAAGCTATATCCAAATTGTATGTCTAATTAACATCTATTTCTAGGGTATCTATCAAATGCATGACTCTTCTGTGGAAATTGCCCATTTTATAATCCTCTATCAAAAATGTAATTTGACTGTTGAGCAGGCAAGGGAGTAAGGGTGGAACAAATTCTTTTTTGTCTTTTTTGTTATGTTAGACATATTTTGTGTACTATGTATACTTAGTTATGACCCTGTCCACAAGGAAATTTAGGGCAGATTTCAAAACTGAGCACTTCAAAATTATATTCAAGCATCCTGTTACAAGAAAAATCACAGAAGCAGTCTCCAGGCAGTAAAATGGATGACAGGTAAGATGGTCCATGGCCACTGTTAATTGTTGAAGTTCTGGCAACATGAACTAACTGGTCAACTATGGTCTCATCCAGGAATTTCAACATTATGTACAAGAATAAAGTTGGCCACTTCATGTGGCCTTCCACTATAGACCACTTTGTGAAGTGGAGACCAGAGAGAAGCAAACTTCAGGGAGAAAGAAGACAGGAGGAAATGCAAAAAAGAGAAGCAGATTTGGACCAAGAGCATTTCCTAGAATCTGTCAGCTTAGTTGCAAGTTTCACTTCCTTCCAGAACTGCAATGTATTCCTGCCTTTGAACTCTGCGAAACTTTTCAATCATTGCAATACCGAGCTCCCAACTTTATGTCAAATCAAGTTTCTCTTAAAAAGGCCCATATAATCCAAAAAGAATATGACTTGTGGGAGATTTTCTCTCATCAGCAACCAACCCTCCTCATGCTTAGTATATTCTTTGACTTTGCCGTTGGAGAGATTTAGTCCTTCAACTTAAGGGTTCCTGTGAGCTATAAACTTACTGTTTCCAGCTCACTTACTGAGATGCTGATAGAATTACCCAGGTCATCTCTGCTCTCTTGAAGTCTCAATGTCAAACTTGTATGCATATTTTTCTGGCATGAGAGGATTTCTTGTCAGAATGCATAGGATTCAATAATCAGTGATCCTTCAAGTAGTTTAATTCTAGTCCCTTTTGAATCTTGGAAATGAAATCAAATTTAATTTGCTCTATTATTGTTCCCAATGTAGTCAATAATTGCAATACTCTGAGAAGGAAACATTTGTTGATTTTTGAATGTCAATCTGTTTTCAAAAAATTTTTTTGGGTTGAAACATAAATTTACATGGCATATTTTCAGTAACTACAATAAGAATGACATTCATTAACAATGTTAAAATAGTTTATTTTATTTATTTTTTTAAAGATTTATTTATTGATGCATGCAAGAACTGGGGTACAGGCCAGAGGTGTGGGGGGTGAGATGATGCACCAGAGACAGAGTGGGGAACAGAACAGGAAGACTGACTGCAATTCACTGCTGAGGGGAGCAGTGGGTGAGTCAGGAGAGGTCTGCTGCGCCATGTGGTTAGCTCCCTGGGCTGGGATCAAACTCATGCTGCAGTGGCTGCAGACAGCTTCATAGGCTGTGTCTTAACCCCTTGCACCACCAGGGAGGCTCCTGTTAAAATATCTTAGTATTATCAATACAATTTTTATTGATCCAAATAGCTGAAGGGTATGTCTAGAAAGACAATAAAATCATAAATATATGTCTAAAATTAACACAACTAGAAAATATCCTGATATGAATTTTTCTCTCACATGACCAAGAAAATTATATTGACAATGCATTTGGCAATTCTGTGTACTTTGTATGAGATATTTTTAACTTAGAAAAGCAGTTTATAGATATAGTAGGTTTTAGACACTTGATTTCTCTGTGCTTCTGTAAAACACCCACTCTAAAACTATTGTGAACATTTATTAAAACAGGTAACTCAAGCAAATATTGTTCATTAAATATTCAACACTCCTCTAGGTGCTGTGGGTGATGTAGGAAAAAAAAAGATGAGCTGTGTTCTTTGCCCTCCTTTACCTGGTAAAGTAGCTGGGGAATCTATAAAGCAATAGTGATAAAACAGGACAATGTAGAGTGAGTGTGTGCTGATTTTCTTTTTTAAGTTATGAGATGAGGAGACAGAAACAAACGAAAAAGGGAAACAGAAGGAAGAACAAAAAATGAACAAAAGGACACTTTCACTTCTGACAACTTTTCTGTTCTTCCCTTTTTGGGGCGCCACTGGAATGAATCAAAGCAGAAGTGGTTAGAGAGAACTTCCTAGAGAGGTGTGATTTGATTTGGGGACTGAAGGTAAACATAGAGCTTGAAAGGAGAAATGACTAAAAGGACAACCTAAGTCAAAGTATGTTGTCAGTTGCCATAATTATGTCAGCCAATTCCTTGTAATACTTGTAAGAAATCATTTACACACACACACACACACACAATCTACAGGACTATTTGGACAACCCTAATACATCTACCCTTTCATTTTTAGCTAAACTGCTATGTACAGTTGGGCATCACTGCCGCCCTCTTTTCCACCAATATTTCTGTATCTATCCCATGTTGGGGACAGGGCGGGGCTCTGTGTTTAATGGTCATTTTCATTCAATTCATGGTTCTCCTGTTCTCAGTCTCCTCTCAGTTCTCTTTTCTGAAACTACATTTCTTCATCCGGTGTTAAACTCCTCCTCTGTGCCCAGCATTCTCCCCACACTGTCATCAAAAGAAACATAAGGTGCTGATGGTGCACGAAAAGCAGCAACTCACCGGCAACACGGGACCTTCTCACTGGCCATTTCTCTTCTCGGGTCCTGTCTGTCGCCATCGTGCTTAACTCTCCTCTATTTCTAAACCTTGCTCCCAATTTCTTCACTCTTACAGGAGCCCCACTTTGCTGACCTGTCTCCCCAAAAGGGTTGGGTGGGCTTCCCCCCACACGCCCAGGGAGGGTCTCCTCCAGGGATGTCACCAGCGCAGAGACCCTGTGCCTAAGGAAGCTGCTACTGTCACTTCAATAGTGCAGAATATTTTAAAGTAAGAGTCATGAGGACTTAGGAGCTTTTTGTCCTTTTCCTTTTCCTGATAAAAGAAGATCACGGCTCCCCTTAGAGCCCACAAGAATGTGCCAGTAGTTTGGAGGGAACCATCCTGTATCCTGACCATGTCTGCTCCCCTGAGAATCGCACCTTTACGCTCAGAGAGAAGCTGAGTTACCCCCTTCTCATCCGCACATCCTGGGACATCTCTCCCCCACTCTCCTGATGCCTCAGGGCCCTAAACACAGAGTAAACATCACAGGCTCACGCCATTATTCTTTAGAATTCATAAGCATGTAATTTTCCACACACATGCTATTAAATTTTGGTCTGTTCGCCTATAAATCTGTCTGTTGTGAATTTGTCCATCCATGTAGTCTTAGAAGAACCCACATGGGGTGGGGGGAATTCTCCCTTGCCCGGACACAACTCCCTCATCTGGAGAAACCCTCATTTCTTTTACCTTATTGGGCAAAGGAATTTATCTCTTTTGATTAAACCTCTATCATCAAAAGTTATAACTTTAATTAATAATAAAAAGATGTGAATTTTAATGTCCTCTTTTGAATAGGGGTTTTGTCTATTATTTTTCAGAGAACCAGTGAGGTGACAGTAATTTATTCCAGAGTTTTTAAGATACGCTGTGCCAGGCATGGCCATAGGTGCTAGGGAGAAACCAATGAAAAATCAGGCAGACCCTGCTCCCATGGAGGACAGTGGCAGACCCTAATGTTTGCCTATTGTATAAACCATTCACTCCTCTTTTTTTACTAAAAGATGCTAATTTTATTGGCGCCAATATGCCATGTTTTTTCTGTCACATTTCCCAGCTCCCTATGTACCTATAACAAACCACATGACATTATTTTAATAATGAAATATAGGTGAAAAACTTATATTCTGAGTTAGCATTGGTCAAATTTCTTTAAGGGAAATTAGTGAGGGTTCAATGAGTGTGGGCCTCTGGGCGTGGAGTGTTCCAGACAGAGGATCAGTGATTGCAAGCATCCTGGGAGGGACCATGTCTGGAGGGTCCGGGAAGAGCAAGAATGGCGGTGTTGCTGGAATGCAGGTGTTGGGGAAGAAACTATTCGTTGTCCATCCTGGTATAGATTACAGGTGCACCACACAATAAAATTACAGAGCAACCAAAACAATTCCCTTCTGTTAAATCTTCTGTCACATGCTCCTTCACTGCAAAGTTTAAAAACTGAGCAATTTTCAGTTGCTACCATTTTGTCTGGAAGAAGGT